TTCACAATTTGAGTTGAATTACTGAAATAAATGAACTTTTTCACGACATTCTAATTTATTGAGATGCACCTGTAGTCATTGTGGCTTTTATTTTGTACAAATACATGTCCAGCAGTCGTTTCGAATCTTTCGATAGGGGTCGCTATCTTCACGCGCCTCTAAAAGCAACGCGACACTCTGGTCACGTGGTATGACCGAGTAGGACGGCCATCTTCCCTAAAACACAAACAACAAGAGCGTACTAGACATCAACACGCAACGACCATTGGAGAGGGAGAGAGAGCAAAAAACTGTAAAAGCGGAACACGATTCTCGAGGAGGAGCACAGAACACAAACAACTGCACATGCATCCAAAGTGAAGATCGTCGAGTTTGACGGGGCGACTGGACAGTAACATCGCATCGACAGCTCCAGAAATACGGTCAGCAACTGTGTGCCTCTCTCTCTCCTTGAACGTCTGAAGCGTTGATGGCAGGATGGGTGTTGCATTAAGTTTTATGCAAACTTGGAAGGGGAAGGGCAGCGTGTGTGCGAACAGCGAATGCATTTTAGCGCATAAGGAGCTTTAACTGGCCAGCGCTTGCGTGTGTGGGAATAAATAGTGCTGTTTTAAATTGTGAGGCTTTTTGTATGTTTGCTAAGGCAGCTGTGGCCGTGGGTTGAAGGCCAAAGGAAGCAGCGGAGTGGAGTTTGGAGGGGCGCCAGTGTGCAGGCAATGCACGCGTATGCACACTCCCCCTCCCTGTGCACGCGACGCCCCTCAAAACTCAACCAATCAATATGAAAACAACACCGAGCTGCTTCGATGCTTGTTTTCATTCCTCGCGATAAATATTGAACGCCGACATTTTGCGTATGTTTCTGGGATTACGTTTGCGTCATATGGAATAGAAATGGCCCTAATGGCGAGTATTTTGTAGTTGTGTCCCATTCTGGAACGACTCGTTCTTTTGAGTCGGATCTTTTCAGTGAATCGATTGAACCGATTCACAAATGGGATCGGTTCATGAACCGGACTGAATCCGTCTGAACGGTTGTCGAGTCATCAGCTCACTGACTCACTGAATCGCAAACTGTCAGATTCGTAATGAGTCGAGAATCATAAGAGCATTTGGAGTGAATCGAGAATTTTACTCCAGTAAGTTGTTTAACCTTTTTTCGAAGTCAAGTTACTTTAAAAATACTTAACTGAATAGCGTAATTGTTTCGAATAAAATGTACTGGAAATATGAGACCCTGGACCACAAAACCAGTCATAACAAGGGTCAAATTTATATTTTTTATATATTTTTATAGATTTTTTTTATTATTTATACATCATCTGAAAGCTGAATAAATAAGCTTTCCGTTGATGTATGGTTTGTTAGGATAGGACAATATTTGGGTGAGATACAACTATTTGAAAAATTGCCTGAGGGTGCAAAAAAAATCTAAATATTGAGAAAATTGCCTTTAAAGTTGTCCAAATGAAGTTCTTAGCAGTGCGTATTACTAATCAAAAATTAAGTTTTGATATATTTACTGTAGGAAATTTACTAAATATCTTCATGGAACATGATCTTTACTTAATATCCTAATGATTTTTGGCATAAAGGAAAAATCTATCATTTTGACCCATACACTGTAGCCTATTGTTGGCTATTGCTACAAATATACCCGTGCTACTTAAGACTGGTTTTGTGCTCCAGTGTCACATATATGCACTAGTCAAAGCATTTTAAAACCAAGATATGTCAATTAATGTACACACAAATTGTATTGACTTTGTGAACTGAATCAAGACTACAACCAACTAAACCATGGCACATGAAATTACAATAAACACCCTTATTAGTGGAACTTACATATTAGTATCATTATTAATAAAGTAAACATGCATTTGTGATTGTGTATGGCTTTATTAGTGCATTCAGTGTTTGTCGGGGATCACCTGATGACATAAAAAGTATTGCGGAATCATTTTTTAACCAATTATTTGAACCATTTCATCTCTTCATACTTGAGCGGTTTGCTGTTATTTGGCAGCTGTTCACATGAGTGCAAATGCTTGAGTCCCGAGATGAATTATGAGCTCTCTCAGGCATACTGATGCATCTCTAAGTGCTTTTGAAGTTACAGGTGTCTTTAATTGTTCTTGAGATGACATAGATTCTAATATAGTACTTTATGTTAAAGAGCCAGGCTCCCCCAGTGAATACTATTTATTCTCAACGGTTTGTTCTGTTGCTTAGATATTTCTGTTGCTATGACATCTGTGGGTGCTGTTGATTAAACCCCTGAGATGTTTCTTTTCCATCTCCATGCTATCCTGATTGCAATAACTCTTCTAGTTGTGCAGTGCAGATGCCAATCTAGAAAGATTTTCGCTTCAATCTATCTGCAAAACACACACTGTGCACACTTGCCCTTTCCAAAATATAGTGTTCTGGTAAACTTTGCCACAAATGATCATTTTTTTACTATGTTTTTCCTAAGGCATGGTTTGTTTGTGGTCTCTTTTCTTAAAGAAAATATCTTTCAGGATATTTTAAAAAGGAGAGAGGTTATTTTCATGTACGCTTGGCCTTTAAATTGATAGGATACTGTTACAGGAGCATGTCGGGCAATGTGCGCTGCAGGATTGTTATAGTTAACTAAAGCTAGAACTAAAACTAGTAAAACATTTTTGTTCATCGAAGCAAAGCTGAAATAAAATAAAATAACCTTAAACTCATTCTATTTAGCATTTCTTATTTTCATTTTAAAATTTTCATTATTTTCATTTTATTTGAAGCACTACAATGACTAACTGGCAATAAAAAAAAATTAAATATGTTGATATTAAACAAAGTAAATATGACTAAATCACATAACAACATTACTAAAAAAGTAACTAAAATTAAATTGAAAACTGAAAATATAAAAATAAAAGCTAATTCATAATATTAATAAATATTATAATAGTATTTAATACTAGCATTATATAAAAAAATACTAAAGTAACAACTGCATACTAACCATTTTTTTTTTTAAATAAAATGATTTGGGTTGGCATGAGGGTGAGTAAATAATGACAGATTTTTCATTTTAGGGTTAACTTCCTATTAAATACATTTGCCCTGGTGAATATAGTACATAAATAGACATTACGGACTAAAAGTCAAAAAGTCAACTAAGACGAGCAAGTCTAAATTCTTGCTAATCATTATTGAATAATTACTGATGTGGCAGAGTCCAGCTCCTTTTGTTTTCTCTCAAGTACGACGTCGTCCACTTTGTCCCTCTCGAATTCCTTCTGACAGCGGTTCAATAGCAGCTTCCGGAAGTTTACAGTGATATTAGGTTTGTCTGCTGTGGGCACTTTTAGCTACAATTGGATCATAAGAGGAAGAAATACTTATGACATACTAAAGAATGAGTAATATGAGGCAAAATAACGGACAGTCCAAAGAAAATAGACATGGAAATTTCACAACTGCACACTGCACAATTAACTCCAAAGTGCACAGAACGTACCGTAGCCAGGCAGCGACACATGTTGGCGTAGGCCACAGAGAAGCTGGGCTCATCAATGGCTTTCTCAAACACAAGGTCGATGACTCCTTTCAGCCTCTCCTCTGTGTTGATCGTGAGATCCGTCACCTGCTTCATCAGCTGATGAAACATCTGGGGTGTGAGCTTGTTCAAAATGCTACGAACTCTTCGGAACAACTCCTGAAGTGCCAGAAAAGCAACAGATTGCCAACAAAACAACCTTCAGATAAAATAAACAAATCAGGTGACAAATCAGGACTTAAGGGATGTGAGAACGTCGTATATATATCATATTATATATAATACTGAAATAACTCTAGTGCCTCTTTTCTTGGTTTTAATGGTTTCAGTTATAGCGCTTGCATTAAGTCCACACTATTTTATAGTTTTATGTGGTCATTTCTTGTTTTCTCCTGCAGATAAAGGAGGGAGAGGGATTGTCGGCGTGAGGAGGGGGTCACCAGCTGGGACCTGGTCCATACAGCATTGCCAGTACAACAGAAAGAGTTAGAAAGACACACACAAATAGAGAAAGAGAGAAGCTTATTGGGGTCATAACTGATTCTGGCAGCTGTATTATCAACAAGTTCGTCTCTCTTTTTTTTTTTTTTTTTGTCTCTTTGTCTGTTTTGTTTGTTTCCTGTAGTCGATCGACTTAAGACGTCAGTATCAAGCTCTGCAGTTTTTGCAGTCCAACAGGTATTACTCATTTTAGGGGGGTTTGATTTTATTTTTTTTTTCCCATTTGTTTTTATTTGTTTGTTTTCATCGGCTGTGAACAAGAGAGCTCTTACCGTGTCTGACCTTTTGTATTTCTGCTCTCCTGCACACACGCCCTGAATAAGGCAGCTATAACCCTACTCTCCCTTAAGTTGGCTACTTTGAAATACACACACATATAAACACACACACACCTTTCAGCCCTCTCACCCAGACCTGGTCCAGCCTAGTCTTGCCTGCGCCACTCCCCCGGACAGGGTAAGAATAACACACGAACTGCTGTATTTACATATATAGATATGTCTGTCAGTCATGTGTGCATTACACTTAGGGCTGAACGATTAATTGCATTTGTGATTATATCGCGGTATGAAAAACGTGACACGCAAGAGTAAAGACGTGTGTTCAACTTGAAGATCGATCGGTGTATGACATTAAAATAGGGCTGCACGATAAATCGCATGCGATATTTAACGCGCATCTTGTCAGTAAAGCCATTATGTAATCAGCGGTAATAAAGTATTTAGAGCGCACAAATCAATTTTGCATTTAAAATACATTTTTGGATGTCTGCAGACCTTCTCTTTTGCTCGTGCAAGGTTTCACTAGCTTGCTCCCTTGATGCCCGCCCTCAGTGCTCTCTCAATGCCAACGGCTCGCTTGCTCAACACAACCCAGCGTTACAATATGCCATAATTCCAGCCAATCAGAGACGAGGCTGGAGAGGGTTCCTCGAGCTGAAGGGATCCCCCGAATTTGGTGCGGATTCGCTGCGCCGTTACGGAGATATGGCCGTTCAAAGTTTCAGTGGTTTTCCATAGACATAAGCTTTAAAACGTTTCATTCAGGTCGCCAGTAGCAAACAATAGAGTGCGCTCTGCTGGACAAACTAAGTAATTACACCATTTCAAGCATTTTATCTGCGTTATATGTTCTGTAAAAAAAAAATTTCATATCGGCGGCATATTCGCCGATACCGATATATCGGCGACAGGCTCATATCGGCTGATAATATCGGCAAAACGATATATCGGTTGGGCTCTAATGAAACCCACAGAAAATAAATAAATAACAGGGAGAATAATAATAACAGTTATTCTCTCTATTTTTCAATGTTTCAAGTGAAACAGGTGTTTTTTCCCCTGTAGGTTTTTTTAAATTAAAAAAGTATAAATTTTTCATAATGTTTATACCATAATATATAAACATAATATACCATAATTATTTGGTAGTCTGAGATGGGATGGGGATTCGGGAAAGGGGGGAGGGGGGGCGCCAGATTTTTTTTTGTATAGATTTAAAGGGGAGCACGACCAGAAAAAGTTTGAAATTAACAGACAGTGTTTAAAAAGTGCAGTCCACATGTTTACATGTTAATTACAGTGTCTTTGAATGACCTAAAGTAGTTGGTAAAGCAACAGATTTGTTTTTATAGTTCTGCAATCTACTTTAATTTGTGTGATTTGTTACTGACTTTCATATTAATGTTTACACCAGGCTTATTTGTCAGTGCTTTATGTTGTGATAATTATTACATGCTTACAAGGTTGGAAGTTCAAAAAATCAGTCAATATACTTTGATTGTAGTTGTTAAATAAAAATGTCATTCATATCAATTCATGCATCACCTAATTTCATCGTAACATATAGGCCTGGCCTACAGAAAATAACATTTATGTTTAATCTATCTAATATTGTATCATACTATACAATGATTTATAGCTTGTCTTTGTTGAATAATACAGCTTTAAAAAATAATTGCATATTAAATCGCAATCGATTATTTTCCAAATTTGTTCAGCCCTAATTACACTGCAATGTAATAAAAGAATCTGTGTGTGCTAATGAACAGAAGTATGCTTGCAGCATGTTTCAGTGTGTTGCATACTCTCATTCAGGTATTTCTGTTTGTAGACTTTCACCTCTGAGAAGGAAGGAAGAATATGACTGCTGAAACACTTAACTTTGGCCCAGAATGGTAAAATCCTTTCCTTTCTATTTCTGTGTCTCCTTCTCTTGTTGTCAGATCTCACTTCGTTTTCTTTCTCCTCTTTTCCTCATAATTTTTTTTTTGTCTCTGTCCTTTTGACCGATTTTCTCTGTTCCATTCTTTGTCACTGTCGGATAAATTAAATGCAAGAAGTACTATCTCACTACCTTTTCCTGTAGTAAGCTACTTTAGGCAAAGGGATAAGTGTTGTTATTTTTTGCCATGTTGTTTTGCATGTGTAGCTCTGAGGCGATAGTCAAGCACTCTCATAGAATGTCTTTTTGCTCATACACTAGCACTCAAAAGATTGGGGTCGGTAAGATGTTTTTTTTTTTTTATAAATTAATACTTTTATTCAGCAAGGTAGCATTAAATTGATCAAAAGTGACAGTTAAGACATTTGTAATGTTCTTTTTTTTTTTGCCTTTTCAAAGAATCCTGAAAGAAAAATCACAGTTTCCTCAAATATTTAGCAGCACAGATGTTTTTAGCACTGATAATAATAATAATATTGCATGTTTTCCTTAGCACCAAATCAGCGTATTAGAATGATTTCTGAAGGATCATGTGACACTGAAGACTGGAGTAATGGCTGCTGAAAATTACGGGAATAAATTGCATTTTAAAATGTATCAAAACAGAAAACGGTTACTTTAAATTGCAATAACATTTCACAATGTTACAGTTTTTACTGTGTTTTTGATCAAATAAATGCAGGTTTGGTAAGCATAAGAGACGTCTTTCAAAAACATTAAAAAAATAAAATAAATTCTTACTGAACCCAAACTTTATGTCGGTCGTATGTGTTGTATTGGAAATCCTGAACTAGTTTTTTTTTTTTTTTAATGAGTAATGTATTTAGCTAATAAAAAAAAAAGAACAATATTATCTTTTGTCACACAGCCTAAAGCTCTGTTTTTGAAAATATATTTCCTTCCTAAATCACTTCAATGTAGTGAGCTTCAAAATGATATCTTACCATTCAGTTTATTCAATTTAAAGGATTTTTCCTCAGCACTGCTCTCTACTTTTACCGTGTTTCTGTAAGGTTCTCTCTCTCATCCGACAGAATTTTCATTTTTGGTTGAACAATTTTTTATTTTTGTAAATTAAATTTTAATTATTAGATATTTAGACAGTTAATCTTTCTGTGATGCTTGTAGAATACAAACATTGTGTTTGTAAATGTCACACTATAAGTATTTTGTGTGCTCAGCGAGTACTGAGGGAACTTTAGCAGGTCCCCCAGGAACTACTAACATCAGATGCCGGGGGCGAGACAATGTCAGCACCAAGTAAAGTTGTCAAAACAACAATAACTCTGGTGATTCTGACACCCAACAAAACCAGATCACTCCCAGTATAATCAGCAGAGTTATTTACACTATAAGCACAGTTGCTATATACAGTATCTGACACAGCAACTCCAGCCCCTTGATTTTCCTGTTTGTCTAAAATTAAATATTATATAAGTATGAACACTACTGTTCAAAAGTAAGATTTGTTTTTGTTTTGAATTAACTGTTTTTTTTTTTTTTTTTTTTAAAGTAAAAGTATTTTCAAATTTATTCCTGTGATGGCATTACTCCAGTCTTCAGTGTCACATGATCCTTCAGAAATCATTCTAATATGCTGATGTGCAGCTTGAAAAAATTTTGGAATATTACCAATGTATTAACAGTTGTACTGCTAAATATTTTTGTGGAAAATAACTTTTTTTCAGGATTCTTTGATGAATAGAAATTTGAACAGTAGTGTATATATACATTGATTGATATGGATTTATTGGGCATAACTTCTAGCTTTTTTAGTTCTTAAGAGTGTTTCCCCTACCCAAGCATCAGCCCACGCTTCAGCACCATTTCCTTGGAAAAGGGGAGTGAGAGATTCTAAATAAAGGAGAGCCGATATTGACAGGGCTGTCCTTGAATGGTAGCCAGAATTAGAGCATTTCTCAATGAAGCTTTCACATTGTTGCTGCTGTATCTCTTTTGATCTGATTTTTATCTCTCTCTCAGGCTCCGTGCACTTTCCAGTGGAGGCAGTGTGTCTTCCCCTCCTGCCTGAAAAAATAATGCATTGCATTAACATTGCTTGCATTTTAATGCCTTGTATTTCCAGGGCTTGCATTTTTAGGTCCTGAAATTTAACGTAGTTGTTTATTGAAGCTGTGAATATTTCCATTCAAAATATTTCACACACATTTTCATAATTAAAAATTAAATCATTCATATTCACCTTCCAGAATTCACTTCCAAAATATTCAATCTGTTTAAAAATACGATTCCAAAACATTCAATCTGTTTAAAAATAAGATGTATAATATTCGACAGGCAAATTTCGGTCAATTTTAGTTCACTTTCTAAATTCGCTTCCACAAATTCAGTGGTTAAAATTCGGCATTGCACATCCGGGAACTGCAGGAATAGCATTAGAGCACCGATAAGTA